AACAACATAGTGTTTACTCACTGTGGGTTAGCAGTTGTGATTCGACCTCTGTAAACCTTATCTGGTAAATCGTTAAAAGAAGGTTTCGCCTTTTACTGGCCCCTTAAGCTCCTTTAGCTTGATAGTTCGACTTGCATCTACCATAGCAGGAGGCAACTGATCGTTATGGTTAATACTTGAAAGCATAATTCAACGTGCTTTATTTAGGAACTCAATGCTATTCAGTGTCCCCGGCTGAGGTCTCGATTGAAACCGAACTACTGGCTTGCCTTACGGCTGACTGATTTTCCCCTTTCTACCTTACAGGATGATCTGCATCACGATTTTGAATTAGTGCAGAGCATGTTGGAAGACCGACAGTCTGAGGTTGAGAGGCTGCAGCAGGACCTCCTCGTCGCTCAGACTCGTGCCCAAGTAAGCTGACCAGACCCATTTTCACTTCTCTTATTATTTTCCCATGAACACGAGAAAACGGCCGATTTATTTTATAAGTACAAACCATTGACCGTAACAACCGTTATTGCGTACACGCAGTGGATAGTCCGAATTATTCAGTTTATGCATTTGACTATTTGCTTTTCTGTCAACCCACCGGGCACTTCGCTGTTTCTTTCCTGCTATTTTCTGAGATCTGCCTCCTATGCATAATCAACGGTTGCCCCAAATAACCTTTTTATATAGTCTTTTGTCGATTCGGCTTGCACATTCAAATATTTTGCGATGGCTCTGTGCCACTCTCTGCATTAGAAATCCAATTACTTCCTTTTTCACACTTCAGTCCGATTTCGAGAGTCCGTTGCGCAAACTGCAGCGTAGGATTACAGAGCCGTGCAGCACTCTTGAAGAACGCGATGAAGACTTGTACGTGCTCAACGAGGCGAAGGTACGTTTTCTGTCGTCATAATGCCTGTGTGCACGTATGACTAATCAGACCTTGTCTCCTGTTTGTCCTTGAGATACTTGTATATCACGAACCGGTATTTATAGAATCTCCCACCAGAGCCACTGGACCTTCCGGGAGAAAGTCCCTATTTTATGTAATATGTAAAAAGGGCTTTTGTGTTCAAGGTCTGCACTCCTTTCGCCGTTTTCGTCTAGCGAAAAGAGTCAGTAAACTAATGTTACGGTCTCAGTTGTCTATTCTGCGTTTTATGTCTTCCTGTTGATCGGTTACCTCGACTACTTTTGGCTGTTTGGAATTAACTTTCCGAGAGACTACGTGACCAAGCATCATTATGGATTAACGGTGTAAGAAAGTTGGCTACCGTTAAACAGAATAGGTCAAAGATATGCATCTAAATGCACTTAGGAAAGTCCTTCATAGTCCCCTGGTCCAAGTTAATTTTATCCGTATACTCTATTCCGTTAATGAAAATTTTTCCAAATAATAATAGTAATTCAATAAAGGCGATACCGTCTGTAACGAAAGGTTTTAAGGTCAGACTCTTGATCGAAAATAAACTTGGGGTAGTAATCTAGATATACAAAAACGTGGTCACTAACTACTCATGCCTTCTGCATACAGCAATTTTATCATACCAAACTGAATAATAAAATAGTTATGTGGACATTAAACCATAATAAAGAGCAAGGTTTGGCAGGCCTACCAGCATCTGCATCTTCTGAAAATTACTGTTCTTAATGGACTGCTGCAACAGCAAAGTGCTCGTCAATAGCTTTGGTTCAGTGAGATGATTTCTGTTACTTTCTCTGTCTATACCCTTATACCCCATTACTCACTGTTTTTGACACTGTTGACCCCCCTTACCCCTCCCCCCCCCTAGACGGAACTAA